TTAACCCAGGCCACAGCACTGGCCCCTGAAAGACATGAACATCCATGTCCCATGTACCTGAGTTCAAGTCCCAGTTCCACTCCCCATAACAGCCTCCTGCTAATGCAGACCCTGGGAGGCAGCAGTGATGGCTCAAGCATTTGGGTCCCTGCCACCCACCTGGGAGGCCTGGATTGAATTCCTGGCTTCCAGCTTCAGCCTGGCCCAGTTCAAGCTGTCTCACTCATTTAAGGAGTGAACCAGCAGGTGGGAGCTCTCTCTCTGTCTCTCAAATAAGTATTTTTTTAACGGCATGGAAATCATTAAGGCATAATGAGGCATTCGGGAAGAGTTTGTAATGGCCATTGTGGAGCTGGGCGTGGGTGTTTATCAATCTGGTACAAGTAAGAGTTGTCAAGTGCTGCTAAAGACCCAGCTGGGACTAGAAACCATAAAAGGGCACCGGCAGGAGTCGGCAGGACGGTGAGATTTCCCCGCTAAGTTGCGCCGTCTGCTGGCCACTGGGGAGAGAGACTGGCTACTGCCCCAGCCCAGAGACGCAGGCATGTCACACAGGCTGCGGCTTGCTCTGTTCTCAGCTGAGGTCAATGGACGGACGGACATGTGGACCTCGGTTTTCATTGTCTCAATAAATACAACTCTTTCAACCCAAAGGCTTGTCCCCCGGTTCCAGAGTGGAAAATACCGCTAGGCGGAGGCGTTCAGCCCAGAGTCTTCCGCCACTGCCGACCTGCCCAGCGGGGTCCACGGAAGGACTGCTGGGGGATCCGTGACGTGTGTGCATTTCTCTGATCCAGAGAGAACCCTGGCTGGAGGTTGCTCCCAGCCCCGGGCTGGGGCATGAACCAGGGCCTCCTACCGGGCAGTCACATCCCTGCGTGGTGTCCTGAGGCCCCGGGCGGGGCTTTGCCACATGTTGTGGCATAGAAGGGTTTTCTGTTTCTGTTTGTTTTTGCGATGAAAGATTTAACGAGAACAGTTTTGGTTGACCCACAGCCCTGATGTGCCTGAGCATCCTTCAGACCGCTGGATGTTTTAACAGAGGATTCCTCAAAGCCTCTGCGGCGCTCCTCCACCCTGCCCTACATAAGGAGCGGAGCAGGCCTCCCTTCTCGAGACCGTAGCGGTTGCAAACTGCATCAGACCCACTGCGAGCCTCTTCCAGAGTCCCGCCAGAAGCCAGCCAAGTCCCCAGGTGCGAGGACGCGGGGCGCCGGGGCCAGCGGCCAGCTGTCCCGCATGTCCGTCCAGGGCAGCGGCGCGCTCCAGCGCAGCCAAGCTGAACGCGGAGTAGGCGCTCTTCTCCCCAGCCCGCCTCTCTCGGGGACCGCGGGTGCCCACGTACATCCAGCAGGCCAGGCTGAACTCCAGCTCCACAAACAGCCCCCGCAGCACTAGCCAGAGGAGAACCTTCCAGAAGGTGACGTTAGTCAGCAAAGACCAGTCCGGGGGGTGGGAAGGGGCAGGCAGAGGACCTGCGGGCGCTGGGCCTGAGCGAGGCTCGGCCGGACTCGGGCGGGCCCTTGCGGCACTGGGTTTCCACACCAGGAAGCTCGTTAGCCAGCCTGGGGCTTCCTCTTTAGGCTCAGCTGCTTCCGTCTGCAGCACTGGCATCCCCTGTGAGGGCCAGTTTGTATCCCTGCTGCTCCACTAGAGATCCAGCTCTCTGCTATGGCCTGGGAAGGCAGTGGAAGATGGCCCAAGTCCTTGGGCCCCTGCACCCACGTGGGAGACCCCATGAAGCTCCTGACTCCTGGCTTCAGCCTGACCCAGCTCTGACCATTTCAGCCATTTGGGGAGTGAACCAGGGCTGGGCCAGGCCAAAGCAGGAGCTTCATTGGGGTCTCCATGTGGCTGCAGGGGTCTAAGCACTTGAGCTATCTCCTCCTGCTTTTTGCAGGTCATTAGCAGGGAGCTAGATAAACCAACTCCCATACAGGATGCCAACATTGCAGGAGGTGACTTAACCCGCTGCACCACAACGCTGGCCCATCTCTGTAACTCTGCCTCTTGAATAAATAAAACAAAATTTTTAAGGCACTGATTCAGGAGACAGCAGAGGACAAAACCTAGCTACTGTCTCCCCTCTGATACTCACTGTTCCTTGACCTCTCTGTGCGTCATCTGTGACATGCAGAGGCAGGACCCCCCCCCCCCCCCCGCCACCCTGTGGGACTGTTGTCGGTTTCCAGGAGGACTCGGAGCAGCGACCACAGTTGCTAAGCGCTGGTATTGTCATTGCCGCCTAGCCTTCCTGCCTTCATGGGAAGTGCCCTTTCTTTCTTTCTTTCTTTCTTTCTTTTTTTTTTTTAAGATTTATTTTATTTATTTGAAAGACAGAGTTACAGAGAGAGGTAGAGATAGAGACAGAGGTCTTCCACCTTCTGGTTCACTCCCCAGATGGCTGCACAGCCCTGAGCTGCACCGATCCAGAGCCAGGAGCCAGGAGCCAGGAGTTTCCTCCGGGTCTCCCATGTGGGTGCAGGAGCCCAAGGACTTGGGCCATCTTCCACTGCCTTCCCAGGCTATAGCAGAGAGCCAGATCGGAAGAGGAACAGCAGCTGGGACTAGAAACCAACACCCATTATGGCTTCAGGCCGGGGCGTTAACCTGCTGCACCACAGGGCAGGCCCCAGGACGGGCCTTCCAGGCAGGTTCCCACAATCTGTCCTCCTGCTGACGCTGTCACAGAGCTCCTTCGCCCACCCACCGCAGCTCTGCCACTGCAGAGTTCAGCCCCAGGCCGCACCGCCCGGCCGTTGCCTCACTCCCAGAGTTCCCTAACTAGAGCCCTTTCCCTGTCCCCAACTTCCATCTCTAGAATCCCACGTGGGTGCGTAGCGGGACCCTAGAAGCCACACCACCCGTGAAGCCTTCCAAATCGCCACACCAGCATCCCTGTGTGGAGCAGCTCTTGGCACTGAAGCTCTGGGCACAGCTGGCCCGGCCCGGCCCGGCCTGTTGACCGCACCTGTCACCATCCCTTGCGTGGAGAGCGCCTTTGGCTGCGAGCTGCTGAATGCAGGACGGGACACCCGCCACTCTTCTTTCCCTGTCTCGGGGAAGGGAGGCAGAATCGCCGAGGGACGGGTGTGCTCTGTGGACTAAGCAGCTGGACGTCCCAGGGGAGGGCAGCTGGATCACCGATAAAAGCCGAGCTCTGGGGCCAGTGCCCTGGTGCAGCGGGGTAAGCTGCTGTCTTCTGTCAGAGCGCTGGTTTGAGTCCCGGCTGCTCTTTCATCCTGCTAATGTGTCTGGGAAAGCAGTGGAAAATGGCCCAAGACCTTCGGCCCCGGCACCTGGTTTTGGCCTGGCCCAAACCTGGCTATTGCAGTCATTTGTAGAGTATATCAACAGATGAGACCTCTCTCTCTTTCTCTCTCAGCTGGTGTTGTAGCATAGCGGGTAAAGCCACCACCTGCAGTGCTGGCATCCCATATGGGCGCCACTTCATTTCCTGGCTTCTCCACTTCCAGTTCAGCTCCCTGCTATTGGCCTGGGGAAAGCAGTGGTAGATGGCCCAGGTGTTAGAGGGCCTGCTACCCTTGTAGGAACCCAGAAAAATCACCTGGCGGCCGGCGCCACGGCTCAATAGGCTAATCCTCCGCCTTGTGGCGCCAGCACACCGGGTTCTAGTCCCGGTCGGGGCGCCGGATTCTTTCCCGGTTGCCCCTCTTCCAGGCCAGCTCTCTGCTGTGGCCCAGGAGGGCAGTGGAGAATGGCCCAAGTGCTTGGGCCCTGCACCCGCATGGGAGACCAGGAGAAGCACCTGGCTCCTGGCTTCAGCCCCGCCCAGCGCTAGGCATTGCAGCCATCTGGGAGTGAACCAGCAGATGAAAGACCTCTTTGTCTCTCTCTAACTCTTTCAAATGAATAAACTAATCTTTTTTTCATCTTATTCTTATTCAAATAAATGAATAAATCTTTAAAACAAGATAAGGAGCAGTTGCCAATTAAAAACAACAGGGCTCTGGGGCGGGCGCTGTGATGCGGGGGCTTGGGCACTGCTTGGGAAGCTGCATCCCATTTCAGGGCACGCGTTCCCGGGCAGCTGCCCTGCTCTGCTGCCGCTGCCTGCTAACGCACACCTAGGGAGGTAGCGGATGATGGCCAAGGACTGGGGTCCCTGCCACCCCTGTGGGACACCTGGATGGAGTTCCTGGCTCCGGGCTGTGATCTGTTCCAGTGATGGCTGCTGCGGCATTTGGGGAGTGAACCAGTGGGTGGAAGATCCTTCCACACACCCCCAAGCCCCTCAGACACATCTCACTGTGCCTTTTGAATACAAATAAATTAAAATCTTGAGAAAACAAAAAAGTCTGGTCCTTAACAGGCAGCCACCTGCCTGGGGCACAGCCCACTGTGGACAGTGAGTCCCCTGGGGGTCAGCCTGCTGTGGCCCAGACTCACAGGAAGCCAGATTGCTATCGCTGGTGACAATCCGGGAAGCTACACAAGAGGCTTATGTAACAGTCCCAGATGGCTGCGTCTTGATAAATAACTAACAGCCTCCCTGATTTGCAACTGAGCGCCTGCCAGCGAACCCCACATCTGCACCCAGCCATCACGCAAGATGCCCCACGGGGCTGAGACCACCTGCCGCTTGCCCAGGCCAGCGGCCTCCATTCAGGCCGCACCTGCAGCCCTCTGTTTCTCTCTGAGGCTCTCCTGCTCCTCTGTCTGCCTCGGGGGCTGTGCCAAAACGCAAGTGCGGGTGGCTGACTCCCTGCTCCGCTCCGGCAAGCTCGGGATAAACGTCGTCCTGTGCTCTGCTTATTTGGTTCGTCTGTATTTGCACAGGGCCCAGGGAGGCGGGCGCTGGGCGCCGAGTCGGCACTGCTCCCCCGGGGCGGAGCTCCGCGCCCTTAGACCACAGGGCCCTTGGCTGTGCCACTGGAAATGCTGATCAGGACTTTGGACTCAGCCTGGCTGGGGCTGGAGAAGCCAATTGACTCAGATGAAATTCCCCAGGCATCAAATCACAAAAGCGTTTTGTTAGGCGCTGATTGGGAGGGAGCGGCTGCGGAGGTCTGGGAAAAGGGTGGGACGGCCAGCGGCAGAGACTGGTGGACGGGGTCGGGGATTCACCTAGAACAAGAGCCAGGAATAGCTGGGAGGCGCCTGCGTGGGGACCGGACTTGAGATTCTCATCTGATCTTCCCGGATTCAGGATGCGGCAAACACAGGTATTTGCTGAGGGCCTGCGGCGTGCTGGGATGTGGCAGCCCCATGGCAGACTTCACGGAGTGCGCCCCCTAACGGTGCAGACAGGTGCAGACGTAAGTGACTAGAAAAATAAGATGATTTCCGAAGTGGCACGTGCTCCGAGGAGCATCAGGCCAGATGGTGCAATAGACAGAAGGGGCGCTGGGGTGGGGGTACACAGCGTTAGGAGAGGTGATTGGGGCAATGACGGCGCACGAGCTGATGCACGAAGGAACCAGCCACGCAGCTATCGGGGGAGGCATCTTCCAGGCTAAGACCCCGAGGTGGGACCGGGGTGGACTTGTTCAGTAGACAACAGAGGGGACACTGCGGCTGTAGGGGCGTTGGCAATGGTGGGGTGAGACCAGGGAGGAGCTGCAGGCCAGGCCCTGCGTCCATCCGCACGTCCGGGATCTTCCCAGGTCACCTCAGGAGTTTAAGTTTCATTTTACTTTAAATACCATAGGAAGCGATTGACAGGAGGCACGAAGTGGCTGGCCTGCTTCACTCATTTGCCCAAGGCCTTGGAGGAGCTGCTTTGTGGCACTCTTCCAAGACCCCAGAAGCTGGCGGGGAAGGGGGGGGCGTTAGCATATGGAGTACAGCTCAGCTGGTAAGAAGCCACAGCCAGAGCCTGGGCTACCTGGGGTCGGGGGAGCCCTTGGGGGGGTCTCCATCACAGGTAGCAGCAGCTCAGCCTGCCCCAGGGCCTCAGGAAGCTGCACCTTGTGCAGCGGCTGCCTGAAGACAGATCCCCTCTGTTGGGCTCACCGAAGCCACTGTCCCCCCGCACAGGGCCCCAGGCTTCTCTGAGCCTACACCCAAACTCGGGCCAGCAGCTCTTGTGAACCGACATCTCAGGCGGACACCTCGTCCTGCCTGGTGCTCCAGGCCAGCACCACCCAGCAGAGGGGACTGAGATGTGGGATGGTGGCTCCAGGCTCTCCAGAGTCCTGGCTTGGATTGGCGCGGCTCCCAGCACACAGGCCCTGGCCAGCCTTCAGGCTCCACCTGTTCTCAGCCGTCAGCCCCTCCTGGTGCTCAGATCCTCGGTGATCCCGGGCCACGAGCGGGGGAATAGACAGCTGCTGATGACAGGTCCCTGGCAGGACACAGAGCACACGGGGCCTCTTGGTCCCATACTTGGGGACCACGCCTGGGTGGCTCTGTCAGCCCGGTGAGGCCCTAGGACTGCGCTCCTTCCTGGCTGGGGGACAATGCGGACAGCTCAGCAGCGCCCCCCTGAGGCCTGCACGGCGGCCCAGACGAACCTTGCCCGTAACCGGACTTTAACCGCCGCCCCGGCAGCGGGGCAGCCTGCACACTGGGGCCCAGTGCCGCGCATACGTAAACCCAAAGGCACTCACAGGAGGGTCCCACTGAAGAGGGTGGGGTCTGTAGCCCAACACTTGCGAACAAAAGGCCCGGCGCGGACAGTTCTGCACGCAGGGCTGAGAAACGAAGGCGGGGACCTGGGCCCCTCCCGCTGCTGCGGGCGCACTGCCCCTGTGGCTGGAAGTCACCGAGGACAGCCGCCAGCTCCAGGCCCTCCTGCTGGGATTGTGGTGACGGGCAAGCGCTGCCTGGGCCTCCCAGCTTCTCTCCCCACCCCAGTGTGCGGGAAGAGGCCGGGTCAGGAATCCCGAGACCAGGGTCCTGCCCCCATCTCTGCTCCGGAGTTGAGCACTTATCCCATGCCTCATTCTTTGAAAAATGGAAGTGATGTCCCCCAGCCCATCCCCGTTTTGTAGGGTTTGGGAGATGATCTGATGGTGTTATTAGAGGGGCAGGCGTTTGTCCTAGCAGTTAACAAGCCAGTTTAGACACCCCATCCCACCCTCTGGCTCCAGCCCCTGACCTCAGCGTGCAGCCAACCCAGACCCCGGGGAGCAGCGGTGATGGCTCAGACAACAGGGTCCCTGCCACACACACAGGAGACACGGACTATGCTCCTGACTCCAGCCCCAGCCTAACCCTGGCTGCTGTGGGAATTTGGGGAGCGAACCAGCAGATGGGAACACTCTGTCTCTCTCTATGGAGACTGTGAGACGCGGTGCTCAGTGGGAATTTTTGGCTGTGGCATTTATTTCTCTGCCTCTACCTGCAGGTGTTTCCCAGTTTCTGAGATGAGGGCAGGCCTGGAGCGACAGGGCAGCAAGTGTCGCTGGGCATCCAGGTCCCTCACGCTTCCAAACCATTCTCGCATTTCTGTCCAGGCCCCTCACTGGCCACAGCGCCCCACGGTGGCAGGAGGAGAGCAGAGAGCGAGCCCATCTGCCTTTAGGGGCTTGGGAAGGCAGGGTTTGTCTCTGACACTGACCCTGGGCTGGCTCACCAGACTTGCAGAGGAAAAAGCCTCCAGGAACAGACCCTAAATATGATGACTGAAAAGAATGGACTCCAAAATGCCCAAAGCAAGAGCGGGCATCGTGACTCAGGGTTAAACTGTTGCCTGCAGCGCCAGCATCCCATATCTGAGCACCGGTTTGAGGCCCGGCTGCTCCACTTCCAGTCCAGCTCCCTCTAATGCACCTGGGAGAGCAGCAGAGGATGGCCCAAGTGCTCGCGCCCCTGACACCCACGTGGGAGACCTGGATAGAGCTCCTGGCTCCTGGCTTCAGCCTGGGCCATACCTGGCTTTTGGCGGCTATTTGGGGAGCAAGCTACTGGATAGAAGAGCTCTCTCTCTCTGTCTGTTGATCTGCCTTTCAAATAAGTCAATACTTAAAAAAAAAAAAAAAGCCCAAATGGGGCCGATGTTGCTGCACAGTGGGTTAAGGTTAAGCTGCCGCCTTGACACAGACACCAGCACCCTATATAGGAGGTAGTTCATGTCCCAGCTACTCCACTTGTGATCCCGTTCTCTGCTAATGTGCCTGGGAAAGCAGTGGGAGATGGTCTAACTACTTGGGCTGCTGCCACCCACATGGGAGACCTGGATGAAGCTCCTGGCTTTGGCCTGGCCCAGCCCTGGCTGTTGCAGCCACTTGGGGAGTTAACCAGTGGATGGAAGCTCTCTCTCTCTTTCTTTCTGTAACTCTGCCTTTCAAATAAAAAGAAAAGAAATCTTAAGAAAAAGAAAATGTCCAAGGCAGGGCCCATGTGCATGGGAAGTTGGGCCTATTTGGAGTGTGGCTATGAGGAGAAGAGAGGGGAGAACCCGGCTGAAGTCCTGGGCTGGCACAGGCCCCCAGGGCCAGGGAAGGATGTTGGGCAGGGTCCCACGTCTCAGCCCCAGAGGAGCAGAGGTCATCTGACCGCACCAGGAAGCTCACTAGGGGCCAGTGTGGGCAGCCAAGAGCCAGCTGCTCCTGGGGGCCACCACGAGTCACCTCCAGCCTCAGCCTGCACGTCCTCCGCTGTAGTCCCCAACCCGTCAGTCCTGACGTCAGCTCCTTGGGATGCGCTGCGTCTTCCCTCTCGTTCCAAACGTGGGCCCTGCTGGACTGATGCACCAGCTCTTCTCCTTACCTGCAGCCGCCCCGGGAGCTTCCTCACACCCTGGGTGTGACATTTCCCAGGCCTAGCAGCAGACACCACTTGGTGGGCCAGCACCACAGCACAACACGTTAACCAGCATCTCATATGGTTAATGGTTCGAGCCCCAGCTGCTCTGCTTCCCAGACAGCTCCCTGCTAATGCGCCTGGAAAAGCAGAAGAAGATGGCTCTCACGTGCTTGGGCCCCTGCACCCATGTGGAAGTTCCAGATGGAATCCTGTGGCCTTTTGGGGAGAAGAACCAGAGGCTGGAAGATCTCTCTGTCTCTCCCGCTTCCTCTCTCTGTGTTACTCTGCCTTTCAAAAAGATTTATTTTTTAGAAAAGCCATCATCTGGGACACCTGCATCCCTTCTAGAGCGCCTGGGTTCAAGTCCTGGTTCTACTGTCGGTTCCAGCTCCTGCTAACGTACCTTCTGAGAGGCAACCCGTGATGGTCCACGCAGTGGGATCCCGGCCACCCCCTTGGGAGACCTGGGTCAAGTTCCATGCTTCTGGCGTTGGCCAGGCCCAGCCCTTGTGGCGAGCATTTGGGCAGTGGACCAGTGCACAGGAGATCTCTGTGTGGCTGCCTCTATGTCTCTGCCCGTCAAATAAACAGGAACAAAGGTGTCTATTTTTCATTTCCTTCTTAGCTTGTCTCCTGGTTCACCTGGGCCGAGGGCTCAGGAGGTGTTTACGAGCACTTTGCTCAAGGCTGCCCCACTGGCATCCACTGCACGGGCCAGGACCACGAGTCCACCGTGGCGTCCTCAATGCCAGGCCCTGCAGGGGCGACCGACGCACGTCCCGCCGGGCCGCCGCGCTCTTGGGGATTTATGCTCCAGTCACCGAGACGTTGATGACGCTGACAGGAGCCCATGGGGCACGAGCTGGGGGCGGGGGCGCTGTGAGGCATGTGCACCTTGCAGGCAATGGCACTGGAGCCACTTGGAGAATGCGTGGGATGGGCGTGCCAGAAGGGCATTCCATGGGTGCCGGCAGCCAAGCGGCATCAGTCACTGTCAGCCACACACGAGGCGAGGACAGCTGAGTCAGGTGGGGGTGCAGGATTTGGGTTAGGGGGCCCCGCCCCGTGCCTGCCTCCGAGCCCAGGACTCACGTTGCTTCCCTGAGCCATGGCTTTGTCACCTGCAAAATGAAGGATTCTGGGCCAGATGGCCTGTGAAGTCCCCTCCTCTTCTAGAAAGAGGCTTAGAGAGGAGCCCAGCGGACTGCAGGGCTCTGGGGAACAGGTGAATTCAGGAGACGGGCAGGTCTGGGGAGAAGAATGCTTGGTGACCCTGGCCTCCACTCGGTTCTGGTGGCCACGGCCGCAGGCTGATCTCAGCCTTGCATAGGAACCTGCTGCCTCTGTCCCCCGAGGCCCCAGCACTGAGGAGGGACTGGCCTTGGTCCCTGGTGGGGGGGTCTGTGGCTTCCCCCTGGGAAGACACCCACCGCAGCAGCTGCAGCAGCACCACCTGGCTGCAGTAGCGCTGGGGTGCCAGCAGGGGGAGGGAGCCCCTACATTCACAATTACGTTTCCATCACCCTGGGGAAGTGGGCACTTGCAGGGAAACTAGGTTGGTCCTGAGAAACTTCCGAAGCCCTCAAACTGCTACCCTCTGAGGGCCCGAATTAGCGCCTGATTCACAGCAAACTTCCTGACGAGGTCTGAACCGGCAAACCGCACTCCTGGGTGTGCAGAGTCCCCCCGCCCCCAGGAACTCACCAACAAGATCACCCAGAGGAGGGGACCTGACACCTTGGCTTTCTTCTTAAGATTTATTTACTTATTTGAAAGGTAGAGTGACAGAGGGAGAGAGGGAGGGTCAGAGAGAGATTTTCCATCTGCTGGTTCGCTCCCCAAGTGTGCATGACAGCGAGTGGCTAGGCTGGGCCAAAGTCAAGAGCCCAGAACTCAATCAGGGTCTCCTATGTGGGTGAGGGGCCCAAGCACTTGGGCCATCCTCTGCTGCCTTCCCAGGGGCATTAGCAGGAAGCTGGATTGGAAGCCGAGCAGCCAGGACTTGAACCAGGTCTCCAGATGCAACCCTGCACCTCTGCATTCATAGTCAGGCACTGCCAAGTGCAAGGCTCCCTGGGATGGACCGAGCTGCCACAGGAGCTTGGGCTGGGAGAGAGGGGGCAGGGACAAATCCCGGGTGTCTGGCTCCCCCGGAGAGGTGAGCACGCAGGCCCTGGCTGGGGGTGCTCAGCCTGTTTGCGGTGGGAAAAGTGAGTGAGGCGGGCCGAGGCCCCGGGCACTGTGCTGAGAGCTGGGACCAGATCCGGAAGCTGTCAGGGTGAGGAAGGCAGCGGGCAGAGGTGGGACGGTCCCCTCTCGCATGCATCTTTCGTCCACTGGGCCGGTGCGCATGGCCTCCTGCCTCGACTTGCGCTCCCTGCCCAGCCGGCCCTGGCGCTCCCCGGCTGACTTCAAGCCCTTGGTATGTATGACATTCTTGCCTCTCCTCTGGCTACCCTGCTGCCTCTGGCCGCACTTGGGAGCTCTGTACCCTTCTCCCTACCCTTTTATGTCTGCCTCTCTGAGGCTTTGGGCACAATCTGTCAAGATTAATTTGACAGCAAAACTGGCTTTCTCTGGAAAGGCAAGGAAACTTCCAGGCACCCGAGAAAGTGACTGTGGCCGCTTCCCCAAGGCAGCCCTGAGATCAGAGCCCCTTCCCCAAGGCAGCCCTGTCTCCAGGCTCGGGCCGGGGAACCACTGCTCGGCTCCTCCTCCCGCAGCAGCCAGGGCCAGCGAACCTGGCCATAGGCCTCCACTCTGCTTGGAAGAGGGCTGCCCTTCCTTCTGGAGCGAGGCCGGGCTCAGGTAGCCCGAGGGCCTTCCCAGTAGCCTAGGAGCCTCTCGGGGAGGGAAGATGGAGTTCTATCACCTTGCTTAGCTGGGACAAAATGCACTCTGTCTGGCCCTTCATCCAGCATCTGCAGTTAATCGGGGAATTGGTCACAGTGCTGGTGTGGTCAGTGCTTAAGTGCAGTTCCAGACTCTGGAATGAAACAATAGGTCGCTCTGTTTTCCCAAAATGCGTTGCCTCCCCGGGCCTCGCACCGCCCCTCCCCCTCCGCCAGGCAGTGTCCTCCTGTGACCCAGGGCATCTGCTCTCAGGAACTCGGGGGGCGCCCCAACCCCGGCCCACAGCCACCTCACGCTGTGGTCCCGGAAGCTCGACCTCCTCTCCCGGGGGTCTGGGCCGTGGCCGTCAATCTGCTGTGAAATCACGTGAATTAGACAGGACTGGGGGCACCCTGACAGGCCGCGACAGCGCGGCACGGGACGAACCACGTGACCAGCACGGCGCCCAGCACGGGCCCCAGGCACACGGCTGCACGTGACTCTGCAGCCTCAGGCGCACCGTCATTTTTATTTTGGTTTTTACGATAACCCATGCAGTAGATAAGCTGGGTACTGTTGTTGTTGGTCCAAGTTTACAGACGGGAGAGCTGAAGCTGGGCCTGTCCAAAAAAAGGCAAAGCTGGGGCCTTGCGGGCCGCTGGGCTGCTGTGCCTGCCGCGTGGACGCCGCATCTCAGCCTCTGCCCGGGGCCTGCCCGCGTGGACTCCGCCGGCCGGCCTGGGTGTGTCCAGCCTGAGGAGCCCGCTGACCTGGGCTTGTGTCAGAGGGACGGTCCTCCTGAGCTGTCCCTGGCTCGGATCGTAGGAGCCATCTTATCAAATTCCGGAAGCAGCTGAGAGGGGGCTGTAACCGAGGAAGGTCATATGGTCCGAGAAGCCCCCGAGGCAGCAGGCCGTGGCCACCCCCGGGCGCTCTGGAGACCCCTAACCCAGCTCCAGCTCAGGGCCTTGTTTCCCAAGCCAGGATGTGGGCAGACACACACTGAGTTCCAGCCACTCCACATTGTCGGAATAGCGATGCTTTTGTAAACCTCATGACTGTCAAGGTCATGGCCGATCAATCATTCAGTTTCATAAACACTTACTGAGCACTTCCTGTTGTGGGAACACCAGTCAACAGACAGACACACAGCCCAAGGCAGCCTCCAGACCCAGGGGTCCCAGAGGATCCCAGATTGGTCTGAGAGGCACTGGTAGAAATGTGGAAATCAAATCAAGAACTCTGGCTTGATATATTTATTTTAAAATGTATATTGAATTATTTTTGTTTATTTGAAAGGGACAAAGATGCAGAGTGAGAGAGACAGAGACAAACAAAAATCTTCCATTTGCTGATTCTCGCTCCAAATGCCTATAAATAGCCAGGGCAGGGCCAAACTGAAGCCAGGAGCCAGGAACTCAAACCAGGTCTCCCACGTGGATGGTAGGGACCAAAGTACTTGAGCCATCAGCACTGCCCCCGGGGTGTACGTTAGCAGGAAGCAGGAGCGGGACTTGAACTCAGGGGTTCTGCTATGGGATGGGGCATCTCAAGAAGCATCTTAACCTACTGATCAAATTTAAGTCTACGGAGCAGCGATTGGGAGACCAGTCCTGGTCAAGAAGAGGTGACACAGGCTTTTCCCACAACCTAGGTGGGACACGGCCATGCCCGGGCCACAGAGGCAGAGGAAAAAACACAGTGAGAGACAATGTGACCCGACAGGGGATCGGGGCTGGAGGCCTGCCTGGCTGGAGGCTGGGACCGCAGCGTCTCTCCTGGAACAAAGGCCAGCAGCACCAGGCTTTGTGGAAATGGCTGCTGTGACCACAAAGCAGGAGACACGCGGGTTCCCATGCAGCCCGGGGCCCCGCCTGCACACGCTGGCATCAGCCCCCGCATTATCTTGGAACAGAGGCTGTGTCTCACTTGGGACCTTAGTTGAAAACATTGCTCTTTAATTCAACACAAATAACACTTCCTTCATCTTTTGCCAGGAAAGAAAATGTATTAATTAAACTCAGCTAAGTTTCTCAAGCATTCCCCTTGCACAGCACCTGCGCAGTGTCCAGATGCGAATCCTGGCCAATGAGTGGATTTGTCTTTGCAGATCTGTGAACAGTGCAATAGAGTGAGGTAACTCGTGGGGAGCTCTTCCAACAGTTCTGCCGGGGAGTGCGACATTCATCATAGCTTTACTATGAATTTATTGCTGTTATTAAATCATCATGCTGAGTGCAAAGCCACCAACACTCAGCTCGTCGCCTCTCTCTGTGCTCCATCAGTGGTATCCCTAGAGACACTTTTGGGTGCATAGCTGCATATTACATAATCTTTTAAAAACTCTGGTGCTGTGCGAGCCGGGACGCAGGCAGCTGTTGTGTGGACGCGGTTCTTTCAGAGCACCGAGCCACGGGAGGTCACAGCTGTAAGCCATCCCGTGACACTTTGGTCCACAGCCATTTCCTAATGGAAAGGACTATTTCTGACCTTCAGTTCTGGGCAGTTATAAATGTCAGAGGTGGACCTTGTCCCTGCTCCCAGGCTCTCTCCACACCCTCCTTAGCCTGCGCTGGTCCTCCCACAGGGGGGCGCTGCAGCTCACAGCTCCAGAGGCAGCCCTGGAGGGCCTCTGGCCTGAAACACCTATCCCTGCCCCGCAGCCCATCTGCATGGGCCTTTCTCTCTTTCTCTCTTTCTCTCTCTCTCTCTCTCTCTCTCTCTCTTTCTTTCTTTCTTTCTTTCTTTTTATTTCTTTGGGGCCAGCGCCATGGCTCACTTGATTAATCCTTTGCCTGCAGCGCCGGCATCCCACCGGGTTCCAGTCCCAGTTGCTCCTCTTCCAGTCCAGCTCTCTGCTGTGGCCTGGGAAGGCAGTGGAGGATGGCCCAAGTGCTTGGGCCCTGCACCCACATGGGAGACCAGGAGAAGCACCTGGCTCCTGGCTTCGGATCGGCACAGCACGCCGGCCGTAGCAGCCACTTGGGAGTGAACCAATGGAAGGAAGACCTTTCTCTCTGTCTCTGTCTCTCACTGTCTGTCAAATAAATAAAAAAATTTAAAAATTTAAAAATATTTATTTCTTTATTTGAAAGGCAGAGTTACAGAGAGGCAGAGGCAGAGAGAGACGGAGAGAGAAAGAGAGAGAGAGATCCTTTATCTGCTGATTCACTCCCCAAATGGCTGCAATGGCTGGAGCTTTGTGGATCCAAAGCCAGGAGCCAGGAGCTTCTTCCAGGTCTCCCATGCTGGTGCAGGGCCCAAGGACTTGGGTCATCTTCCACTGCTTTCCCAGGCCATAGCAGAGGGCTGTTTCAGAAATGGAGCAGCTGGGACTCAAACCATCATCCCAATAAGGGGTCCCTGTGTTGTAAGCAGCAGCTTAACCAACTGCACAACACCGGCCCCCAGACCAAGGTATTTTATAATTGTTCCTTGAAGACAGAAACACAAAAACATTGTCCTGCATCCCTGCAAAGCAGCAGGGGCCACAGAAGACCACAGCCAGCTTTCCTGCTCACCTGTGGACTTCTCAGCTTGGGTGGGGAAGCCAAGAGAGAGGCCTGGGGGCCTGGGACCCAACCGCCTGCTCCCTAACCCCCCACATACAATGACAAAACACGAATGCAGAATATGAAAAAATACAGATGATACAAGGGAGAATAAATAACCCCTGCCCCAAAAGAATTCAGAGATTTATTAGGAAACAAATCCAGGGGCCAGGCTTGTGGCACAGGATAAGTCACCATCTGCAATGCTGCGTCCCAAGTGGACTCCGGTTCGAGTCCCAGAGGCTCCACTTCTGATCCAGCTCCCTGCTAATGTGCCTATGAAAGCAGGGACAGATGGCTCAAGTATTTGGGCCCCTGAACTCACATGGGACACGTGAATGGAGTTCCAGGCTCCTGGCTTCATCCTGGTCCAGTCCTGGCTGTTGCAACTACCGGGTGGACGATCTCTCTTTTTCTCTCACCCTCTCTAACTCTGCCTTTCAAATAAATTAATCTTTTTTATAAAAAAAAAATTCACATATTAAACTTCAAGTAAGGATGCAGGTTATTATTATTTTTTAAAGATTTATTCATTTATTTGAAAGACAGAGTTATTGACAGGAAGGGAGGGAGAGCGAGAGTGAAAGAGAGAGAGAGATCTTCCATCTGCTGGTTCATTCACTCCCTAGAGGGCCACAATGGCCAGCACTGGGCCAGGCTGAAGCTGGAGCCAGGAGCTTCTTCCAGGTCTCCCACACAGGTACGGGGCCCAAGCACTTGCACCATCTTCCACAGCTTTTCCCAGGCCATCAGCAGGGAGCTGGATCGGAAATGGAGCAGCCAGGACTCGAACTGGTGCCCATATGGGATGCCAGCACTGCAGGCAGTGGCTTTACCCACCATGCCAATCCCAAGGACACAGTTCTTACATTTTAAAATCAATTTATATTTCCACTTCCAGCACCTTCTTTGTGGTAACATCTGCTTCTGTGGAGCCCAGTATGAACCTCCCTATGGCCCCTGTTACCTGTACTGCCTATCCCCAATGAGAGCCAACTCTGTGAGGCCAGTGACTGGCAGCTCTCTGCAGCCTCAATACCAATGCTGAGGCTGCCTGAGAAAGGTTAGAGAGGGCACAAACAGCACCTGTGACGTTGTCGGGATGCAGGGCAATCCGGTGAGAGCTGCTATTGTTGTACTCTTGTTTTTTTGAGTTTTATAAAATACACTGGCTGGAAAATATTGACTAAAAAAGGAAAAAAGCAGATTTCCTTAAAAAAAAAAAAACTTATTTATTTGAAAGGCAGAGTTACAGAGAGAGAGAGTGGGAGAAACAGAGATCTTCCATCTGCTGGTTGACTCTCCAAATGGCTGCACTAGCCAGGGCTGGGCCAGTCCAAAGCCAGGAACCCAGAACTCCATTCTGGTCTCCCACGTGGGTACACGGGCCCGAGCACTTGTGCCATCCTCTGCTGCTTTCCCAGGCACATAAGCAAGGAGCTGGATGGAAAGCTGGAGCAGCCAGGACTGGAACCAGCACTCCTATGGGATGCCCGCAACACAAGTGGCCACTTAACAGACTGCACCACTTCTGGTCCCAAAAAGCAGCTTTGTAGCACTGGGTCGCGGAGCAAAACCCAGCAGAGAGGATGCCGGTTAGGAGGCCTGCCTCTCACATCAGAGTACCTGGATTAGATTCCTGGCTCTGGCTCCTACTCCAGCTTCTTGCTAATGCAGAGCCTGGGAAGCAGCAGCGAGGGCTCAAGTAGTGGGGTCCCTGAGGACCCATTTTGGAGGTCTGGACTGTGTGCCCAGTCTTCAATTCAGCCTCGGCTCTGGCAGAGGCTGGCATCTGGAGAGTGAGCCAGTGGGTGGGAATACACTCTCTCAAACACATACAACTTGGAAAACATATTTATTTATTTATTTATTTATTTATTTGAAAGTCAGTTACAGAGAGTGGAAGAGAGACAGAGATCTTCCATCCAGATGGCCACACAGGCCAAGGCTGAACCAGGCTGGGTCTCCCATGTGGGCAGCGGGGGTCCAAACACTCAGGCCATCTTCCACAAATGGGATGCCAGTGTCTCAGGAGGTGGCGGCTTCGCCAGCTACACCGCAACACAGGTCCCAATAAATAAATTTAAAACATTGAATAGACTCACCAAAATGCAATTCATGAGTAGCAAATAAAAACGTTTTAAAAAATTAAATACTAGTGACCATGTATCATCATCTACTCTGTCAGTCATTTTACATAATTTCCTTTTTAACATAATACACGGATAACGCTTCAAGCTTAAAAATCCAAACAGCACACGCAGTGTTAAGACGCGAAACCCTTTCTCTTCCCTGCTCCAAAGACGCATTCCTCCCCAGCGTCCCCAAGGCTGCCGAGGTCGGGGTGCGTTCTTCTAGATGCAACTGGACGGACAGCCGACTCCAGGTCCGTCACCGACCCCGACGTCCGGTTGGCCTCTGCAGCACAGAGAGCGAGCCGGACAGCGCCGGAGCTGCCATTCGGCGGCAGGCCGGCCCGACGCATACACCGGCGCGCGCTCCTTCCGCTACGCCCTGCATGTAAAACTTTATGGTGGAGGAAACCCAGGCTCCCAGAACCACCTGGTTCGCCGCCAGGGCCCAGAGAGGCGGCCGCGACTGACCTTGGTCTGTGTGCAGGAGCGCGCCCTGGCCGACGGGGGCCGGGAGACGCACAGGACCATTTGCATGCACCCTGCGTGCGGCCTCCCTCCGGGCCCGCGCCTCGCCCAGGTCACTCAGGACCAGGCGCCACCTGGATCCCGGCCGCCCCTCGAGGTCACCCCGCTCGGACGGGCGCAGCGCTGGCACAGCGGGTGCTGGGGTCCTGAGCCCCGGGAGCGACTTCTGCCTCAAGACGCAGCCCCGGGTGGGTGGCACTGGCGCGCGGAGGCTGTGGGGTCGACCGTCCCCACCCCGGGACCGCGGGCAGGGGCGCTCGGCGGCCGGGAGGGCGGGGCGCCGGCGGGGCGGGGCGCGGGGCGGAGCCGCGGCCGGAGGCGGCAGCGTCCGGAGCCGGGCTCAGGGGCTGGAGTGGCCGCCGCAGAGCAAGGCTGCCCCGAGGGAGCGCCGGGGCGCAGAAGGGCCACCGTGCCGCCGGGGGCGCGCCGAGCAGGTAGAGACCCTCCCCAAGCCCCGGCCCCGGCCGCCCCCTGCCCACTGGGTCCCGTTAGACCACCCGGCCCGCGCGCCAGCCCGCACCGCCCTGGCCCCAGCTCCGCGCGGTCGCGCCCCCGCCGGGACCCCGGCCCCGGCGCTGATGGTCTCGGAAGATCTTCTAACCCCTGGGGTCGAATTCCTGGGGAGGGGGTCTGATCCCGTGTAACTCTGGCTCCATCACCCGCGCGGGGAATGAGCCAAGATTCCTACTAAGTCACATAGTGAAGTTGGAAAACATACCCAAGACCTCCCTGCAGGCGCGCTCGCCTCCTGCCCTTGCTGCTCTCGGAGGACGTGTCCTTCCTGACACCCCCTCACTCCCGCAGTTGGGAATAAGGTCGCTGGGAGGGATGCAGATGGGCGCCTTGATGCCGCTCAGCCTGATGGCGAAAGAGGTTGACGGAAAAGAGAGACACCTGTTGCGATGGTTCCCCCAGGACCCAGGGTTGAGGGCCGGGTGGGAGCAAGAGATTCTGACCCAGGACAGGGACTGTCCACCGCCAGCCCCTCCCCTCTCAGTGACTCCTGCCTCGTGAGGGGGCCGGCCCTGCAGGTCTGTTCTTTGATCTTCACTGGCCAGCGTGAGGAGGTGTGACCAGGAGGTGCCCAGGTTTTTCCAGATCAGGATCCAGCCTGGCACTGGAGTGACCCCTTCTGCTTTCTTTCCTTACCCAGGGCAGCGAGACACCAGAAGAGGGGCGTGCAAAGGGTGAAAAAGCACAAATGTGTGTCTGTTTCGCAGAGGAGGGGGTATCGGCCCCCTGCCCAGCTGTGCAGGGGAGGGCAGGGTGGGACTTTTCCAGAGAGGGAGCCAGGCCTGGCCCGCGCCCCGGGAGCTCACGTCACCCCCACCCCTCACTTCTCCAGGGAACTGCCGAAGCCAAGCCCCGCTCGGGACAGGATTATATGTACTGGGGAGACCGGCAGAGAGAAGCAGAGGCAGAGCGGGCGTGGAGGGGGCCCCTGCGTGACCCCCACCCACCTCTCCTCCCCTCAGCCTCATCCACAGGCCTGGGGCTGAAGGTCTGCGTAGAACATGGGCCCCCGCCTCCCGGCGCCCAGCAGGGCGGGGTGGCTGACCTCAGTGGTCAGTTCAGCCAGGGCCATCAGCAGCCCCTCCCCAGCCCCGAGCAGCAGAGGGACCCTGCCCACTCCGGGTTTCAGGGAGGGGAACAGGGCCGCGGGCTGCCACCCCCGGCACATTCCTGCTCTCCCCATGGTGCTTCTGCTGCCCCTGAGCCGGCCCACCTCGCAATGGCTCCTTGGAACCCTCTCCCGGGTGCCTTTCAGATCCAACAGAAACAGGGTTGGGTTTTTTTTTTTTTTTTTTCCTGGAAAGCAGAACTAAGAGCAGGATTAGGAGTGGGGGCAGGAAGGGCTCAAAGTCAGAAGGTGTTGGGGGGGCCTGCAGGGGCAGGGAGAGTCAGGCTGAGAGCAGGCTAGACTGCAGGATGGACTTCCCGGCTCTGCGGGAGCAGGGGCAGTTCTGCACCTGTCCTTGCTTAGGTCCCTGCAGCCTTCCCGGCTGTGCACAAAGCAAGCCTCAAGCCGGAGGGGTGCTGGTGCCTAGAGGGGAGGTTGAGTCACCTGCTTCTTCTTTATAGAGATTAAACCACCAACCCACTCAGTTTATCCCTTGGCCAAAAAGTGTCTGAGGCAGGCCGAGCTGTGCCTGACTGTTCCTAAGGAGCTTAGCTAAGAAGGGAAGACAAGGCTGGGAGGCAGGAAGGATGCAGAGATGGCTTGGGAAGGGGCTCGTTCTCGGAAAGCTCATGGGACTTGTCAGGGTGAGGTGCGGCGTCCGGCCCGTGCTCACCTGAGCCTCCCTCAGCTTTCCAGGAGGGAGGAGTGGGGCCAGAGGGACCCATCTGAGGATGTTGGCTTAGGAACTGCCCCTAGAGGGGACTTAGGGAGGGGCTGAGAAGTTCCTGCAAGGGCCAAGGGGGAGGGGCCTGAGCCTAGCTTGAGTCGGGAGGCTGAGGTCAGACCCCCACCCTCCAGCCCTAGCCCGCGGCCAGGGCAGCGGCCCCTTAACATCCCAAAGGAAGGTGGGGGCGCCCTCCCTCCCGGCCTCCCTGTTTCCTGGGGGCTGGGAGGTAAACGCCAGGCTTGTGTTCCCGCAGAGCGTACCCCTCCACGCCCTGATGCCTGAGTAGTGTGCACCTCCAGGCCCCTCCTCCCTTGCCAGGGGTGAGAGATGAAGTGGGCAGGCTGGTAAGAGGGGGGCAGCCTGGATGGGATGGGGGGACCCCGGGGGGAGGGAGGGGTGGCCTCGGCCCTAGGGCGCGGGAAAAGGACCCCTGGGAGGGCTGGGGGAAGTGGTGACTTCTGCTTTCCAAGACCTCGGTGGTCAGGATACGGGAGCCTGTGGGTGTTGGGGGGCGGGGAGGGGCAGTGTCGCAACGCCTGCCCTGACTTGGTTCTGACGGTTCTGACGGCCCCTCCTGCCTTTGGTTGTGGTTTGCAGGCCCCGGCTGTGTCTGATGCTGCTTCTGTCCCTTCCTCAGCTCTGCCTGGATCAGGTGAGCCCTGGATAAGAGCGGCCCTGCTTGCCTGCCTGGCAGCCTCCTGTCCCCGGTCGCATGCCCGACCTCGCCAGGCCATCTCCATGTCCCCCAGCCTCAGAGCCACGTCCTTCTCACTCCTACTCGGCCCACCTAGCATCCCCCACCCCCCACCGACCCCCTGGCTCCCTGTCAAACACCATCAAGGAGTTCTAGTCCTACTGCTGTCACCGAGTGGCACCTTGAGCCATTCAGACTCCTTGAGCCTCAAGCCCTGGACTGGGTAGGCACTCAGTCACTGGAATCCTCTCTGGCCTTTTTCTCTTTGTAGGTGCTGTCTGGACACTCTCTACAGATGCCGCCAGAGGAGGGCCAGGGCCCTGAGGGGGTCTGGGGGCCTTGGGACCAGTGGTCCTCTTGCTCCCAGCCCTGTGGGGTGGGGGTACAGCGCAGGAGCCGGATATGCCAGCCCCGCCAGGACCTGCCTCCCCCTCCCCGGCCCCCAAGGCATCCAGAAGCCCAACTCCCCCGCGGTCAGGGCTCCAGACCCCACACCTTGGGAGAAACCCACCCCCTGTACAGGCCACAGCCACGGGGAAGGGGGGGCCCGCTTCGAGGTCCTGCTTCCCTGCCGGGCAGGGAGGACACACAGGAGGTGGCAGGAGCCCGCAGGTGAGGCTCTGCGGGAAGGGGCGGGCCTTGGGTGAGGGGCTGGGCTTGATGTGGAGGGAAGGGGAGCAAAGGACACGCGGCTTCCAGAGGCTTCTCTCGGGTGCCAGGAAGTGGAATGGGGAGACAGGCTCCGGGACAGCTGGAGCGTGCCCCGCGTGTCTGACTCATGTGTGTGACTCATGTCTGCCACACCTTCTCAGGTCCCGGGTCCGAGAGCCCATCAAGCCTGGGATGTTCGGCTATGGGAGAGTGCCCTTTGCCTTGCCGCTGCATCGCCACCGCAGGCACCCCCGGCGGCCGCCCCTGACTCCCGGGGCCGAGCTGCCCTCTGCACTGCCCCCCACAGAACTGCCTGCCCACACCTCATCCCTCCCGGCACACCCCACAGGGGCAGGGACTGTTCAGACCGAGGCTGCCCTGCCCCGAGCCAGGGCTGCCTCCTCGCAGCCGTCCCATGGAGCCCAGGCCCCCCGCACTGAGCCCCTCTCGCCCACCCTCTCCGGGGAGAGTCGCCCCTTCCACCTGTCCCCTCAGCCAAGAATACCGAGCTCCCAGGGCTGGGCCCGCCCCCGGGAGCCAGGGAGACCCCCTGACCCTTTCCCCTCGGTCCCTCGGGGCTGGGGCCAGCAGAGCTGGGGGCCCTGGAGGCCTGGGGGGAGCCTCCGGGGGTCCCCCGCGGAGCCGAATGGCTGGCTGCCTCTGCTGAGCGACGGACCCCCCTCCAGTTCTCTCTGGAGCCTCTTTGCCCCCAGCAGCCCTGTCCCGCGATGTTCTGGGGAGACCGAGCAGCTGAGAGCCTGCAGCCAAGTGGTGAGTTCCTCACTGGACCTCACTGCCCAACTCAGCTTCCACTCTGTCCCCTTGATCTGGGGCGGGGCACTCAGCTTGTCTGACCCAGCAGGGCGGAGAAAGGCCCCGGCCTCTGACCTCCTTGGGGAAGGGGCCTTGGAAGTCTTCTGTGGACCCCTCCCCCCAGGCCCAGCCTTGGCCCTGAGCCCCATTTGCCTCCCTGACCCTGACTCCTTTGTCCCTCCCCGCAGCCCTGCCCGCCCGAGCAGCCAGACCCCAGGGCACTGCAGTGTGCTGCCTTCGACTCCCAGGAGTTCATGGGCCAGCTCTACCAGTGGGAGCCCTTCACCCAAGGTGAGTGCTCCGGCCCCTCCCCTGGGCAGGGGTCATGGGGTCAGCAAACACCAGTCACTCCCACCCTGGAAGATTTCCCGCCCTTCTCCTTCTCTGCGTCACCCAGGACAGAGGGGACTTGGCCCAGGCCTTGAGCTGCCAGATGGTGCTGACTGGTCTGCAGGGGGCTCGGGGAGGGAGGGAGAGCTGTCCAGAGGTGCCCTTTACATCCCAGGAACGGGGTGGCTGTGACCCAAGAGATCCTGCCACCCGGCAGCAGGCTGGGCTGTGCTTACCGTGTCCTGCTCCCAGGGTACCGTCCACTTGGTTTAGGCCTGTGTCACCTTGACACCCAGATGAGACCTCCTGAGTTCAGTGCACACAATCACAGGTGTGGAAGCTCTCTCCTTGGTGGCCTCAGTGACCCCAAGTGACCTGAGCAGCTTATGTCCAGTGACCCAGCAGCCTCAGGGTGTCCCAGAGCTGGCATGAGGGAGATTTCAGAGTTAGTGCGAAAATGTCATTAAAAGATGTTTATTTTGGTACAAAATGATTTTGAAATTCATGCATAGTTTTTTTTTCTAACACATATTTCCTATGAGCTTTTTTCTTTTTTTTTTTTTTTTAAGATTTATTTATTTATTTGAAAGAGTTACAGACAGACAGAAAAAGAGAAATCTTCCATCCGCTGGTTCTCTCCCTAAATGTCCACAATTGCTGGAGCTGCGCTGATCCAAAGCCAGGAGCCAGGAGCCTCCTCCTGGTCTCCCATGCAGTGCAGGGGCCCAGGCACTTGGATCATCCTCTGCTGCTTTCAGGGAGAGGATCAGAAGTGGAGACGCTGGAACTGGAGCCGGCGCCCGTACGGGATGCCCGCGATACCCACTGTGCTGCAGCGCCGGCCCCTCCTGCTCTCTTTGTAGCGTGTCTCTTCCTTATCTACTAGAGAGGCACAGGGTATAGTGTTTGCAGAGGGAGACAGATACTCTTTTTTAAAAATAAACATATCTCTTTTTAAAAAATATTTTATTTATTTATTGATAGAGTTACAGATAGTGAGAGAGAGAGAAAGGTCTTCCGACTGTTGATTCACTCCCCAAATGGCTGCAATGGTTGGAGCTGTGCCGATCTGAAGCCAGGAGCTTCCTCCTGGTCTCCCACATGGGTGCAGGGGCCCAAGGACTCTCTCTCTCTCTCTCTTTTTTTAAAGATACATTTATTTGAAAGATAGAGTTATACAGAGGCAGAGGCAGAGAGATATTTTCTGTCCACTGGTTCTCTCCCCAAATGGCTGCAATTGCTGGAGCTGGACCGATCCATAGCCAGGAGCTTCTTCCAGGTCTCCCATGTGGGTGCAGGGGCCCAAGGACTTAGGCTGTCTTCTGCTGTTTTCCCAGGCACATTAGCAGAGAGCTGGATTGGAAGTAGAGCAGCCAGGACTTGAACCGGTGACTGTAGGAGATGCTGGCGCTGCAGGCGGCAGCTTTATCCACTACACTGTAACACTGGCCCCAATGGGCATAGGTTCTTGTGATGTAAGAGTGTAGTAACCAGGGCCAGCACTGTGGCACAGCCGGTTAATGCCCTGGCCTGCAGCACCAGCATCCCATATGGGTGCCAGTTCCACGCCTGGCTGCTCCAGTTCTCATCCAGTTCCCTGCTAATGCACCTGGGAAAGCAGTGGAAGATGGCCCAAGTGCTTGGGCCCCTGCACCCACATGGGAGATCCAGGTGAAGCTCCTGACTCCTGGCTTCAGCCTGCCTGGCCCAGCCCTGGCCCTGGCGGCCTTTTGAGGAGTGAACCAGCAGATGGAAAACCTCTTTCTCTGTCCCTACGTCTCTAACTCTCTCCTTCAACTAAATACAATAATTTTTTTTTGTTTTAATGTATAGCCACCAAACTATACGGGATGGCCACATGGCAGGTGGTGGCTTAACCCGCTGTGCCACAGCGCTCCCTCCCAGGAACTTTTTGAAGATCCTTCCTATGCATGGATTTCAACATTTTCTGCACCCCAGTAAACACCTTTCAACTCCACTTTGCCACAAACGTTTTCAGGGGCCTCCTGAGCAAAGCTTCTGCGGGGGCCCTGGGCCCTTTCCATCCGCTTCCCCTCCCGCCCGCCCACCGCCCACCACCCACCACCCACCACCCACCACCCTCCCGCCTCATCTCTAGTCCAGGGCTCCCAGCGCTGTGAACTGAACTGCCGGCCCCGCGGCTTCCGCTTCTACGTCCGCCACACGGAGAAGGTACAGGACGGGACCCTCTGTCAGCCCGGAGCCCCGGACATCTGCGTGGCCGGGCGCTGTCTGGTAAGCTGTGACAACGAAGCCCCTGCCACGCTGGCCCGGGGTGGGGGTGGGGGCGCCAAGAGGCGCAGACCCCTCCCCTGAGCGCGGCCGGCAGGAAATGCGCTCTGCCTGTAGCTCCGAGAGCGAGCCCGGCAGCGGCCAGCTGAGGGTCCCACGTGGACCAGGGCGGGGTGTGAGGTGGTTTCTGGCTTTCGTGTGGCCCCTGCCTCACCTCACTCTCCCCAGAGCCCCGGCTGTGATGGGATCCTTGGCTCTGGCAGGCGTCCAGATGGCTGTGGCGTCTGTGGGGGTGACGACTCTACCTGCCGCTTTGTTTCGGGGAACCTCACTGAGCGAGGGGGCCCTCTGGGCTATCAGAAGATCCTGTGGATTCCCGCGGGGGCCTCCCGGCTCCACATTGCCCAGCTCCGGCCCAGTTCCAACTACCTTGGTGAGCATCCTGGCTTGCCCCGGGAGGCCTGCGTCCCCCTTCTGTGCCTGGTCTCTGCTCCGGCCTTGGCCTCCTGGTCCAGCACAGCCCGCAGGCCAACCAGGCAGAAGTCCGCGGCCTTCTCTGCCCGTGGTGGAGGCGTGGCTTCTGGGTGGGCCACTCCTGCAGGTTTGGGAGGTGGTGAGAGATGTGGGTGGCAGGATTAACCCGGGTCTCCTGATGGCTTCCCTCTAGCACTTCGGGGCCCCGGGGGCCGGTCCATCATCAACGGAAACTGGGCTGTGGACCCCCCTGGGGCCTACCCAGCCGGAGGGACTGTCTTCCACTACAGCCGGCCTCCCCGGGAGGAGGCCAAGGGGGAGAGCCTGTCGGCTGCGGGCCCCACCACTGAGCCCGTGGATGTCTACGTGAGTCGGGGGCCTGGGGAAGCCGGCGGCCAGGGTGGGGACTGTGGGCTCGAGACGCTGGGAGCAAGGCGGTGTCATCCCTTCCCGCTGCCACAGACCTCCGCTGCCTTCTCTCCTCCCCAGATGATTTTTCAGGAGGAAAACCCAGGTGTTTCTTACCAGTATGTCATCTCGTCACCTCTTCCCACACTCGAGAGCCCCACCCCAGAGCCCCCCAGCCACCAGCTCCAGCCTGGTGAGACTCTGGTCCCCAGGCACGGGAGGGGGGGATGTGAGGTTGAGGGGGTGCATCTGACCTGGCCCGCGCCTCCCCTGCCCAGGGATGCTGAGAGGGGCGCCCTTGGCCGCTTCCGCCCCTCGCTCAGCCCGGACCCCAGGCATCCTGCAGCGTCAGGTGCGCATTCCCCAGGTGCCCAGCCCACCGCTGCCCAGGACACCCGCGGGGTCTCCAGCCGGGTACTGGAAACGAGTGGGGTACTCTGAGTGCTCGGTGTCCTGTGGGAAAGGTGAGGCTCCACGCCCTCCTCCCGGCACCCCTGCCCAAGCCCCCACCGCCTCGCCCTGGATGGCGGGGCTGTGCCTTCCCTGAGACTGCCTGTGCCCCCGCCCCTCGCCGTCCCCCCAGGTGTCTGGCGTCCCATTTTCCTCTGCGTTTCTCGTGAGTCGGGAGAGGGACTGGAGGAACACAGCTGTGCCGTGGGTGCCAGGCCCCCAGCCTCCGTCGAGCCCTGCCACGGCCCCCCATGTCCCCCGTAGTGAGTATTGCCCACGGGGAGGGTTAGGATTGCCCCGGGGGCCACACACCCTGCACCCACGGCCACAGCTCCTGGCTTCAGAGACAGTATTAGGCTAGAGAAGGTGACATCCATAGCCAGCCAGAACCCTCAGGCAGCCCGTGCACTCCCACCAGGAGCCCAGCCAAGTGTGCCTGCCCCAGTGGCCCAAGGGGCCCCGCCCAACACCGTTTCCCCTGCCCGCAGCTGGGAGGCCGGCGAGTGGATGTCATGCAGCCGCTCCTGTGGCCCCGGCACCCAGCACCGCCAGCTGCACTGCCGGCAGGAGTTTGGAGGCGGCGGCTCCTCAGTGCCCCCGGAGCGCTGCGGGCACCTCCCCCGGCCCAACACCACCCAGCCTTGTCAGCTGCGCCTCTGCGGCCGCTGGGAGGTTAGCTCCCCCTGGAGCCAGGTGAGTGGGCCCCGGGGCGGCTCGGCTGGAGGAGGGTGAGGAGTGGGCACCGATGGGCGAGAGCAGTGGTTTTTGTCCAACTTCTTCATCAGCAGAAACTTTTCACCAACAAGAGCTCCCAAGCGGGGCCTGGGGGCGGGGGCGCCGGCCTCAGCCCCCTAAAGACAAGGCAGGGTCAGGTTCAGAAGCCCAGGGGCTGGAGGGCGGCGTGGATCCCATCCGTCCCCTCCGGCCCTCCACAGTGCTCAGTGCGGTGTGGGCGAGGCCAGAGGAGCCGGCAGGTCCGCTGTGTTGGAAGCAACGGTGAGGACGTGAGTGAGCGAGAGTGCGCGTCGGGCCCCCCAAAGCCCCCCAGCAGAGAGGCCTGCGATATGGGGCCCTGTACCACAGCCTGGTTCCACAGCGACTGGAGCTCCAAGGTGGGCACCTGCAGCCCCTCCACCAAGTCTCCCGCCCTCAGAGCCTTCCCCGCGTAGCTCAGTGAGCACCCCGCTGTCCCGCTGTGTGCTTCCCACGGGGACTCAGGTGAGGGAGGCAGACCTACAGTTGGGTCTTAGCTCCCTGCCTAAGACTCTGCTTAGCTGACCGGGACCCCTGGGGCACACTGAGCCCCAGGTCAGGACCCAGGATGCTTCCATCCTTGGGCCCCCTGTCCCGCCCCCTTCCCTGCACACGGGCCACTCTGCTTCCCAACAGTGCTCAGCCGAATGTGGGACGGGAATCCAGCGGCGTTCTGTGGTCTGCCTGGGGAGTGGGGACGCCCTCAGGGTGGACCAGGAGGAAGCAGGAGCCCAAACCAGTGAGCAGAGCTGTCCAGGCAGCCGCCCCCCCGACATGCGTGCCTGCAGCTTGGGGCCCTGTGAGAGGACGTGGCGCTGGTACACAGGGCCCTGGGCTGAGGTGAGCTGGCGGCCTGGGAGGGGCAGGAGGGAGGCCGGTCCCAGTGGGATTCCACATGGGCATTCAGGAGTGACCCCTGTTCTCCCATCCCCTCCGTCAGTGCTCGTCAGATTGTGGCTCCGGCACACAACGCAGAGATGTCATCTGTGTGTCCAAGCTGGGGACTGACTTCAACGTGACTTCTCCTAGCCACTGCTCCCACCTGCCCAGGCCCCCTACCCTGCAGCCGTGTCAGGGACAGGCCTGCCAGGACCGATGGTTCTCTACACCATGGGGTCCGGTGAGTGTCTGGCGTGGGTGTGCTCTGCTCTGCTTGGGCCCCCGGGGAAGGGGGGGCTCCTCTCTGCACCCCATGCATGTTTCTCTGAGCCCCAGGAGAGCCCAGCTGAGCTTGGGCACTGCTCCACTTCCTACAAGCATGGAGGACAGGCGGTCCCTTCCATTTGGGCTATCGTCATGTCCCAAGATAATATTCCAGAGAGGGAGGGGTGCAGGAGGAGCCCGGGGCGTGGCCAAGGTCTGATTCAATAGCCGGGGTCTCCCACAGTGTTCTCGCTCCTGCCAGGGAGGCGTGCAGACAAGAGAGGTCCAGTGCCTGAGTGCCAATCAGACCCTCAGCACCCGATGTCCTCCTCACCTGCGACCCTCCAGGAAACGACCCTGTAACAGCCAACCCTGCGGCCAGCGTCCTGGTAACAGAGTCCCCTCTCCCCAGTCCTCCAGTAACTGAATGGGCAGAGAGAAGGGACCAGTGGGAGGGGGTGACATAACTCCAGACAACTAGGTCTCAGTGACTGTCTTGTGCCGCTGGGCCCCCCTCTGTCCCCAGATGATCAGTGCAAGGACAGCTCTCCACACTGCCCCCTGGTGGTGCAGGCCAGGCTCTGCGTCTACCCCTACTACACAGCCACCTGTTGCCGGTCTTGCGCCCATGTCCTGGAGCGGCCCCCGCTGGAGCCCGCCTGAAATGGGTCTGGGAGGCCCTGTCCTCGTGGTTTTCTCGTGCCATCCACTCTGTATGCCCTGGCTTTGCAGCCTGTCCAGGTCTCACCAGGGATGTCCTCGAGGGGGACTGACAGGGACTCGAAGACTGGGGTTGGGTGTGTGTGGTGCTGTGACAGTGGGTGTGCACCTGTGCCCCAGCATGTGTATGTGGGCCTGTGTGGATGTGTGTGCGTTCATACATGTGTATCACTTCTCAAAACGCAGCGGTGCAGATTGAGAAGGGGCTGCCCCCAAGACGTGCCTCGGCTGCGAGGGAAGCAAGTTTGCAGCTCCTTCCTAATCTGGGTGGTCTCCCCGTCAGTTCCAGCCTGGTGTCCTCAACCTCACTACTCGGTTCAGGCCTCACATCTTCCCAAACACCCTCCTGTCTCTGACCCTCCTCTCTATCTCTCCATCCTGCCTCCCTAGTTAGGGATGGGGGGGCAGCCACTGCCATTCTTGCCTTACCCCATGAGGAGGGACTGCCTGTGTGCTTGGAGCAGCAGCAGGTTGGCAGAGGATGGGAAAGAGAAATGTTAGCATGAGACACCCGAGCCCCTGGCCCCAATCCCACTTCAAGTGGTTCCCACCCCAGAACTAATTTATTTTTATTAAAGATGGTTATGTCAAACGAGAAATGTGCTGTTCATTGCCAGCCAGACGAGCCACCTAAGCAGTGTGAGGGCAGAATGTAGGCGACAGGGGAGTAGGCCCAGAAGGGCTTAGGGGGGTGGGTCTGGATCACCTGAGACAAGAGAGGTCCCCCTTGTGAGCCAGCCCGGGCCTGCAGGTTGCACGGTGACCACTAGAGATCGCCAGCACTCCCAGTCTGGATGTGGGGTTGCGCGCCTGCGTGGCGAGCCAGGGCAAAGGCTGGGGCTGTGGCGGTTTCCTGGTAGGCTGGGTTTTTTTGTAAAGTCTCTTGGAGTCCAAGAATACCCGTTTCAGTTTAGGGCTGAGCAAATGGCAGCTGTCTTGTCACGGGTCGTTTTCCTGTTCCCTTGCTTTGGCCCTGCTTTCCCCACCTCCCCCATCCTCTTTGCTATTACCCATTTCCCTATTTATTGCTTTTGGTGGGGTGGGGGATAGAGAAGTGACTCTGCCCACCCCTCCCTCGGCGGAAATGGCTGGAGGAGCCTTGGGGCGGTGAAGGCGGGGCCGAGGCGGTACTGGATGTTCTGCCAGAGCCATTCTTGAGAGATGTCTCACTCTGGGCTCCTCCTTCCCCTACAGTGTGAGGGCGTGCGGGCAGGGGGCCGGTGCCCCTCCCGGGACAGGCAGGGGCCCTCCTCCGTCTGCGCGGGCCGCTCAACTCGCGCCTCCCGCGCTCCGAGCTCCCTGGAGCCTGGGAAGGCCCCCAGCCGCCTGAAGAGCCTGCATCTCCACACCAGCCGCCTCCCGCACCTCTTACTGCGGCCTCGGGACTGGGGCCTTCCCCAGCTCAAAGTGGCTGAGCAGGGCGAGCTTGGGTGTTTGGGAAGCAGAGTGGGTGAGGAAGGATGCAAAAGGGTTTGAAGGGAGAGTAGGAAACTGGCTGGCTCAGGACAGGGAGTGGGGAGAGCAGGGGGAGGAGATGGCCGACACGCTGCTTTCTCTGGCTCGCCGGCAGGGGGAGTCAGAACTGCGAGGGACAGAAGGGGACTTGGGCCAGCCCTGTAGGATGAAGGCTGACGGCCCTGCGGCAGAGGCGGGTGGTGGTGCGTGCCTGAGGCCCTCCCAGCGATTCCTGGAAGCCGGAGCTGGGCGGAACTTCCCCGAAGTGCTCCTCCCTCTGCAGGCCTCTCAGGGCTGTGGCCGGTCGCTGGGCAGGTTTGGAGTTTGGCCTGAGCCTGAGAACCAATCACAGGTGGCGAATGCAGCCATTTCCCTCTTAGGGTCCCCCGAGTTTCAGCATCGCTCTCTCGCCCCTTAAAGGTGGGATTCAGGATTCCTGAATCAGCCGTTGTCAGGAAGGGGAAGGTGACCTCAGGCAACCCCCTGCCTGGCCCCTTAGAGGGGAGCAGTGTGGCCAGGCCGCTGTTGACCTCTGAAACCCTTGGAGGGACTTGGGAGGGAGGAAGCTGCGACCCAGGGGCAAGGAGCTGTGGTGGCCAGGCCCCAGGTTTGGTGTGCTGCGGAGAATTTAGGGAAGGGCTCAGAGGAACTGGACCCCTGAGAACCGAGATGAGGTGGGGGTAGTGATAGGAACACACTGGTAGAACCAGAGAAATCAAGCGTGGGAAACACTAGCAAACTGCTGAGACCTGGGAAACACTAGCAAACTGCTGAGACCTGCTGGGGGAGGGGGTTGGGGTTCTGGACGCAGAGCCCCTGGGGGAGAACCATGAGGGCTCACCAAGTTGAGCTGGTTCAGGCTTCCTCTCCCCTCCCCCAGCAGCTTCCCCAGGGTAAATACCCACCGTGTAAGCTGCAGCCTTTGGACTAAATTTAGCTCCTAGACTTCCCCAACCCCTAGGCCTCCCTTCAGCAGGTGCTCACAGCTGCAGGGGTGTGTCTGGTGGGGGAGTTTTAACATTCCCTTCACCTCCACTGATCCACTTTCAAGCTCTCTGGTAACCAGGAGTGAAACAGCGTAGGGGAGCTGGCACTGTGGCGAAGTGGGTAAAGTCACTGCCTGTAGTGCTGGCACCCCATGTGGGCGCCGGTTCAAGTCCCCACTGCTCTTCTTCCGATCCAGCTCTCTGCTGTGGCCTGGGAAAGCAGATGGCCCAAATGCTTGGGCCCCTGCACCCGGATGGGAGATCTGGCAGAAGCTCCTGATCATTGTGGCCATTGGGAGATGAACCATCAGATGGAAGAACTCTCTCTGCCTCTCTGTAAGTAACTCTGCCTTTCAAATCAATCAATCAATCAATCAATCAATCTTAGGAAAAAAGAGAACATATTTGCCTTACACACAGACACACACACAGAATAGGGACTCAGATACTGGCCTAGTACATGAGTCTCAGCTTTCTCCGGCTGCACATCTAGGAGACAGGAGGGCGACAGGACACAGCAAGAACAAAACGCAAGGAGAAACTCCCTTCCAGATCCTCTTTTCACTTCTCCCAGTCCCCTTCTCCTGTCTTAAGACTTCAACTTAACTCCCCCTGCACAGAAAACAATCCAGGAGGCTCCTGACTCCCACGGAGAATCTTGCTAGAGAGTATGGTTTGGGGAGGTGTGTGTGGCCAGGCAGGGCTTCCCCCCATCTCTCATCTCTGGTGCTGGGAGGCAGCTGGCTGGGGGAAGCTGGAGCAGAGGTGGCATGCTATCAGGTGGAGGCACCTTTCACAGGAAGTAGAAAAGTCTCAGGAAAGTACCTAAGTCTAAATCTGTCAACAAGAGAGAAACAGGTTGGATTAACCTCAGAGTAGCCAGCACAGACCCTCGTCTGATTTGGGGCTCTTTGACCTCCTAGGAGATGGGGAAAATTTCTAGAAAAGGGTGTTTTGGAGCCAAGGTCTGAATTCAGGAAGGATTCAAGAGAATGTACAAGACTAGTCCTGGGGGCCAACGCTGTGGTGTAGTGGGTAAAGCTGCTGCCTGCATTGCCAGCATCCCATATGGGCACCGGTTCGAGTCCCGGCAGCTCCACTTCTGATCCAGCTCTCTGCTATGGCCTGGGGAAGCAGATGACCCAGAAGAAGGAGACCCAGAAAAAGCTCCTGGCTCCTGCTGGCGCAGCAGCTCACTTGGCTGATCTTCCCTAGTCCCGGTTGGAGTGCCAGATTCTGTCCCAGTTGCTCTTCTTCCAGTCCAGCTATCTGCTGTGACCAAGGAGGGCAGTAGAGGATGGCCCAAGTCTTGGGCTCTGCACCCACATGGGGAGACCAGGAGAAAGCACCTGGCTCCTGGCTTTGGATCGGTGCAGCGCACCAGCCTTAGTGGCCATCTGGGGGTGAACCAACGGAAGGAAGACTTTTCTGTCTAGTTCTGCCTGTCAAAAAAAAAAAAAAAAAAAAAAAGGAGCTCCTGGCTCCTGATTGGTGCAGCTCCAGCCGTTGCAGCCAATTAGGCAATGAACCAGCGCATGGAAGACCCCTCTCTCTCTAACTCTTTCAAATAAATAAATAAATATTTAAAGAAAAAAAGACTAGTCCCCGCCGGCGCCGCGGCTCACTAGGCTAATCTTCCGCCTTGCGGCACCAGCACGCCGGGTTCTAGTCCCGGTCGGGGCGCCGGATTCTGTCCCGGTTGCCCCTCTTCCAGTCCAGCTCTCTGCTGTGGCCCGGGAGTGCAGTGGATGATGGCCCAAGTCCTTGGGCCCTGCACCCCATGGGAGACCAGGAGAAGCACCTGGCTCCTGCCATCGGATCAATGCGGTGCACCGGCCGAAGCACACTGGCCGCGGCGGCCATTGGAGGGTGAACCAACAGCAAAGGAAGACCTTTCTCTCTGTCTCTCTCTCTCTCACTGTCCACTCTGCCTGTCAAAAAAAAAAAAAAAAAAAAAAAAGAAAGGACTAGTCCCTACACGACATGGCAGCCTGTCAGAGCAGAGGTGCAGAGATGACTAAAAACAAGAGGCCTGAGAACCATGCGGTGCCACCTGCGATGCCTTCCTAGTAGGAGGGCAAGGTCTGGGCTGGGGCTGGGGCTGGGTGTGTTGCCCTCTTCTGAGCTTAAGAGCACCACAGAAGTGTGAATAAAGAGGAAGATAAACAGGAAAGAGGATGGGGTGACTCATAAAAAGGAGCCGGCTGTTCCCCAAGGATTCTCTAATAAGGTGGCCAGCAGGCGCTGTGTAAAATTGCCACCTGCAGTGCCAGCATGTCATTATGGGTACCGGTTTGAGTCCTGGCTGCTCCACTTGTAATCCAGCTCCCTGCACCCCTGTGGGAGACCCAGAAGAAGCTCCTGGCATTGGATTGGCCCAGCACTGGCCATTGTGGCCATGGAAGATCTTGCTCAGTCTCTCTCAAGCTGCCCCTGGAACTTTTTGTTGCCTGTCTTCCATCTCTCCCCACTGCCTCTTTCATCAGGAAATGACGACTCCTTTTTAGCTCTAGTAGAGCTGAGCAACCTTGACCAGATGGTGAAGAGCTCCCATCTGGTTCACTTCCCAAATGCCTGCAATGGCCAGAACTTGGTTAGGCCAAAGCTGAATCTGGAATTCACTGCAGATCTCCCGTGTGACTGGGACCCAAATACTTGAGCCATCTTCTGCTGCTTCCTAAGGGTGCACAACAGTGGGAAGCTGGATTGGAAGCAGAGGAGCTAGAACTTGAACCAGGCACTCACAGTATGAAATGCGAGCATCTTACCCACTATGTCAAAACGGCTGTCCCTTAAGAGAGATTCTTTTGCCACAGCAGAGAGCTGGATCGGAAGAGGAGCAGCTGGGACTAGAACTGGCGCCCATATGGGATGCTGGCGTTTCAGGCCAGGGCTTTAACCTGCTGGGCCACAGCACCGGCCCCAAGAGAGATTCTTGAAATTATCTGTATTCTTTTTCAATCCTCACAACAGTAGGATAATGAAGACAGTATATTTTTAGAAAATATTAAATCCAATTTACAGAGAAGAAATTTAAGGCTTGAGATCCAGTCTTTTTAAGTTTTTAAACTTAAATTCAGGTAGAACTTTTTAAATTTTAATTGTTGTTTTCAATTATTTTTTTAGGACTTTTCAGCATTTTCGGAAGATGGTTTCTAAATTTTTTTTAAATGATTCATTCATTCATTTGAAAGGCAGAGTTAGAGAGAGGGAGAAAGAGATCTTCCATCCATTTGTTCACTTCCCAAATGCCCACAAAGGCCAGGGTTGGGCCAGGCCAAAGCCAGGGGCTTCTTCTTCCAGGTCCCCTACACGGGTTCAGAGGCCCAAGGATTTGGACATCTTCCACGGTTTTCCCAGGCACATTAGCAGGGACATGGATTGGTAGTGGAATAGCAAGGACTCTAACTAGTGTCCATATGGGATGCCAGTGTTGCTGGCAGTGGTTTTACCTGCTACACCACAGCATTGGCCCCTAAACTTTAATTTTCAACCTGAAGCTTCAAGAAATTAATCCTTTCAAATTCAATCAATATTTGGCTCCAGGAGATAAATACAATTACAGTATATATGGTCTCTAAGGTATACTGTTATGCAAACATAGGCTTATAAATAGAACTGTAAGCAACTAGTATTAATTGTCAGTTTTTTTTCTGGGACACACTCAGTTGTGTTACGTTAACATTCACTTAAAATCAATGAGAATGTACTTCTAAAAATCTGTCTGGAACTTCTTACTCCTTATTCTACATTATACTCCCCCCCCCCCCCATTCAGTAGTGTTGATATAGCCTTCAAGGTAGAAAGATAGCCCTCCACCCAGTTTGAGACCCCACCTCAACCACCAATCTTTGAAGTGGGGGGAGGGGCAAGGAAGCAGGTAACCATGCACTTCCCTCCCCCCATCAGCAAGCTCCTCTGCAGAGCTGTAGCCCAACCTCATTTCGACACTTAACTTGTTTCCTTCTTTCTGTTTCTCTACTTTGCCTCATGAGGGATTTCTGAGAAATGAAAAAAAAAAAAAAAAAAAGTCACCACCCACAGTCTCATTTGCAGTTTTATTTTTTGGTTTTTTTTTTTTTTTTTTTTTAATGCTGAAGAGGAGGGGGAAGAGGAAAGGAGCACACCACTTAAGCAGATGGTGTTAATCCAAACTTGACACAAACACCCTTTCCCAGCCGGCACCTGAGGTGAGCCCCACCTTTCCTTAGATCTAGGTTCTCAGGGTCAAAAGGAAATAAACAAGATATCCTCCCCTCAGGAAATTTCAGTAATGGAGCAGTGAAACCCAACAGCTGCTCCCTAGCTGCAGCCCAGCTGTCTCCTCCCTCCCACCAAGGACAGGAGGGTGGGAGTTGCTCCCCGCAGCTAACAGATGGAGGTGTGAGCTGCCGATCGAAGGTAGATCTGGGCACAGGAGACTCAGGAATGCAAGGCAAGTGGGACCTGCGAGTCATAACCAGAGTAGGGGACACTGCAAGGTATGGCAAAATTTTCGAAACTAGCTGCTACTAGGCAGAAACCCTAATGTTTGGAGCACAGAACTGAAGGCATTTCTCAAAGTGGAAAACCTGTCTAAGCCACAGTGAAACAACAGTTAAAAATTCTTTCCTTGTCTCCTTGGCTGTTTCCCAGCACACCTTGTCCCAGGCTAACTTGAATAAACATACATGTGACCACACGGGGCAGGAAGAACACCAAGTGGGGGTGGTGAAATTCTCAATGGAATGCAGCCCCAGCTAGTTAGGGGGCCCTAGGCCAAGACCTCTGGCACTGCCTGTGGATTTATACAGGCAAAGAAGCCAAAACAATGAGCTCATGGGCAAGAATGCAGCCTGTGGGGAAGTCTGGGTGGCCAGAGCAAATGCATTTTTTTCAATCAAGATGGGAATAGCAGTAATTGAGTCTCCCACGGGAACAAGAGGAGGGGCGTAGAAGCCACCATTCAGCATTTTGGGGTCCAGTTAAGAAATTCCGTTCAGCAGGGGCTGTACAGCTCTTAGGTCCAGTCAAAATACTTGGTTCATTTCCATGGATAAGGAGCCTAGAAGTTGAAGGATGAGACGGTTCATCAGATTGAGAGTCAGCTATCCTAGGTGCTCTTACAGCAATAGGGGCAACTTGAAGTGGTCTTTGGCCTAGCAGTTAATATTTGTCCCACATCCCAATACCTT